TCAGTGAGATTGGCAGGTAAGGGTGGAACATACACACGATCTTTAATGAAACCCCATAAGAAAAAATCGAGAGGTGTCAAATCTGGAGAACGAGGTGGCCATGATATCGGCCCTGTTCGACCAATCCACCGACCTGGGAAACGGTTATTGAGGAAATCCTGGACCTCCGTGACGTAGTGAGGTGGTGCGCCGTCTAGCTGGAAGTGAATGCGTCCTTGGTCATCTTCGTCTAACTGTGGTATCAGAAAATTTTCGAGCCATTTTCAAATGCACTGCCTCTTGCGCTCGCGGTGACGGAATTCGGTACTACAGCACAACGTGAGTCAAACTTGATTTGTTTTTCTATAAAATGACACCTCAACTGATTCTGTAAGCCTTCTGAATAAATTTCTATACACTTTCAAAGTTGTAAAGTCCTTTTTGAATCACCTGGTATTTACCAGCTGAGCGACTATCATATTCTCGAGAATATTCTGTCCACCTGCACGTTGTAGGTCACCATATGAAGGCCAAATGATAAAAGGTGATGTAAGCTGTGACGGTGGTCTAGCGGTTAGAAGGCTGGCCTTGTAATCCTGGGGTCTCGGGTTCGAATTTATAACTTGTGTTGGACAAGGCCGTGGTCTAGGCAACACGGAGTTTTCCTCCGTGGCATCCCAACAATTACTCCATTCACACACAGAAGAAGGCAATGGCAAACCACTTCTGGATCATCTGCCAAGAACGTATATGAACAGGTCCCAGTCCGAGAAAAGGATGGAAGGATCCTGTTCATATGGACCTATCGTCAGACAGAACACTAAATAATAATAAATAATAAGCTATGATACGGCTGCTTGGATTTGAATACTGATCCAGCGGCCACATCAGCATCTTACGTAATCACGACCCCAGGACAGGATCTTCGCTGAACAATAAATTATATTTTATTGTTAAAGATATTCGCTTTCGTTCCTCAGTGACATTTATTTTTCCTTGCTGTTAAGTGATGTAGTCTTCAACCGGTTGAGTCTGCATCTACTACAAGTGATTTGTTTAAGTGATATACACTTTAATGTTGTGATCATACCTAAGTAAAGTTCTGAGACAAAGCCGCTTTCAGGCAGAAAGCTTAGAAATATTTCCTCTCCTGTTTTTTTGAGTCTAAAAATTTTTAAATCTCAAAAAAAATCACTACGATTAGAACGATGGATCTTTCTTAGTCTTCAGATAAAGTATGAGACATGTGTTATATTTATTGCCTTCAACCTGTCCATGTGAATCACATATTTTATAAAACTGAATAATTTACGTAAACGACGAAGCACAGCTGATAAGCCAAATTTTGGCAATTACGAATATCCGCATCATAATTTTATGAGCACCTTTTTGGAAATTATTTTATTCAACAAGATAAAGCAATCTAAACCAGTGGTATTCAACCGGGGGTGCGTGAAATTTAAAAAAAAAAATTATTTTATGATAAACACTGAATAATCAGTAATGTAATTTATTTAATTTATTTTAGATGTAGATTATATACTATGTATAACTTGAATTATACACCAACAATTTTGGGGGTACAAAGTTGAAGAGAAATTATATCTGGGGGTTACACGAACAAAAAAAGTTTGAATAACACTGCTCTAAACCGTTAAACATCATATTAAATAATAGTTTGTTCATGTGCAAAGTGAAATGGTCTTATTCATATGTCGGACTCCTTTTATTTAAAAAGAAATCTGTAATGTTTAGGAAATGGTCTGTGGCGAATGTTAAAATCCCACTGTATGTTACGTAATCTAGAGTAATAAAAAAAAAATGGGAAAAAAAAGAGAAACACGTGGAAGGTGTCCTTCGTGACACGAACTCCACTGGAAACAATTCGGCTCCATCTGTTTAGGCATGACACATGAATGTTAAGTCACGTGTTACGTAATTGTTAAACGAGCGATGCAAGATGACGGACGGAGTGTCCGTCAATATTCTTCTTGTCCTTGCCAAGAACAAAAAATCGGCCTCAGACGACTTTTACTGCAATCCACAATACCGTTCTTGCACTTCAGTAACTCCACTGTGAAGAGTTTCGTAACCAAATGTTTTTCTTCAGATTCATGACACAAAACGTATATTGCGTCAAATGACAGGATCATTACCTTATGACGAAATGGAAGGCTACACAGAGTCGAATAAGAGGTTGCGGAAGGAAGTGGTCGTGTCCTAAATTAAAATACAAAAGAGGGCATTTGGCCCAGACGGACTGACGAAAAACACGAAAATATCAGTCAGGATGGCAGGTCTCAAAATATTTAGACCAGGGACCTCCCTAATACGTATCGGGCGTGATCACATCTGTTAAAAATAGATTTTAAAGAAATGCGGGTTGCCGACGTGACCTGGATTTAGCTGCGTAATGATATCGAACAGCGATTCGTTCTTGGAAAGGTGGGGCACTTACTGATTAAACCGCTTCTGAATTCATGGGGAGAACGATGCTTTCAATGCCTTAAAATCCATCATATTCTGAACTTGCGGACTGTTGGATCAAATTCATTAGAACGCGCAGTGGTCACGTAAGATACCAAGACAGGCCGATGTCTGTCGCGCAATTACACTGTCGAAAATTATAAAAGATTTGACCTTAACTTTTCCGTACATCCGTAGAGAATCATCCAAGTTGAGTTACGCAGCCAACAATAAAAAGGATTACAAATGTCCTCTGGGGTCACTCCGGGACGGATTCGCTTTACAATAGTTCGTTCCATTGCATGTCAGCTTGCGTAGGAGCCGAACCGAAACTTTTTGAAAAGATGCAGTCCACAATGGGATAATAATGCACCGTCATGAAATATGAAAACGACAAAGAACTCTCTCCATACTAATGTTGTGATCAAAACAATAGAATTGCTACATCATGTATTCGCAAATAACGTTACGTAAAATGTGGGATCTATCTCCCATGGTCATTTGTCCTTTCACTGCAAACAAAATAAATATCATTGTCGAAAACGGGATGCAAAATTTATACTTCTTTGTGTTGTTTTTTTATAGTGTTCTGT